CTTTGCCTGCCTCGATGGCAATGGCCGGCAATTTTTCGTCGATATCGAAATGGGCAAGACCCACCCCCCGCCCCCTCCCCTTGCCGGGGACAAGGTCGTTCTCATTGGGGTAGGTTTATTGCCAGGGAGTGTTTTTTTTGGGGATGAATCCCATACCCATTCCATCCGGTCGCCCGTTCGACCCACATTAGATATTGCCAGGGAGTTGTTTTAATAGCCCGGGTCGGGCTCATAATTAAACTCGGCGGGAGTTCTGTCCCCCAAAACCCCTTTTCGTGGCCATTTCCTTGGGCTTGGGCTTGGGCATGGGCATGACACGTACTCCGCACATACATTACACCAGCATCTCTCTCTCTCTTTGCCGGCCAACTTATGGGCCACATGGACCTTAACACTTTGGTGCCACATTAAGGCTGCAAATTGTTAAACGTGGCCAGGACTTCCTCTCCTTCCCACCCCCTCTCCCACCTGTGGGTGGGGTGGCAAGGTGACCGACCACCGAGTTCTGGCGACTTATTACCCAAGTTCATTAGCATTTCGAGACCTGGGCGCCACATCGAATGTCAGACAGTTGACACTTGACACGGCAGATGGGCGGTGGTTGGGGGGTGTCGCTGACGGGGTCACTCGAAGTGGAAAATACCAAGGAAATTTCACACACACTTTTTTGCACAAAAATTTCGTTGAATTTCTGACGATTTTCTAGCATTTTAAGTTCCTACTCTTCATGGGAAATTTGAGATTTTACTGGGTGGCAAGAAAGAAGACAATTTAAATGACAAACTCAAGACATTGAAGCTCATTTTGAGCTTTAATTATTAGGAAGAAGGAAGATTTTATATTTGATCGAGAAAACCAATCGTAATTCGTTCAAACCTAAGCTAAAAATGCATTAATTTCAATTCGGAAGGCTCTTCTTTGGTAATTTTCATTAGGTTAATAACTCTATTCAAATTGTAAAAAAAAAAAATTTAAATTTTTGGGCGATTTATAAAAATTTGAACGATGTAACCTTAAAACCTTAAGCTCAAATCTCTGACCAACATTTAGTTGTTTATAAATATGTTTAAAATTTCCAAGAAACCCTCTTTAATTAATACAAAACAATTCAATAAAAATAGGTAACCAAAAAACACACATTTACAATTTGCAATATAATTAAAAAAAAAGCCTATTCGATTGTATACATATATATAGATTTTCTAAGGTATTTTGGCCTTGGCATTCCAATAGCCGGCTTTGCCTTGGATTTTTTTTGCAGAATTTTTTTCTGGCCGAGTGAAAATACCTGGCCAAAAGAACTTTGGAGTCGCATTCCTGTTCGCTTTAAGCGCTGGCAACTTTTCCGCAAGTTTTCCGCATTTTCATGGCAGTCAATTTGCTAAATCAAGAATGCGACAGCAGCAGCCAAAGATGGCAATGAGGGGAGGGAAGGGGATGGAAAAGCAGGAAAATAAATATGCCAGCCTTCAGCTTTCAGCTTTTCCTGGCCTCAGCTTTGGAGATGGAAATGGAACCAGAACGGAACCCGATGCGCCCTGAATTTTCACCCCAACTTTTCTTCTGTTCTCCCCGTTCCTTATCCTTGCTCCCCTCCTTTCCTTTTCCCTTTCCCCTTTCCCCTTTCCCCTTTCCCCTTTCCCCTTTCCCCTTTCATTTTCAGTTTATTTTTTTTATGTATTTCACTTATTGATGAGTGGAAATGCTGTTGACATTATTTGTGTGGTCGCCGCCGCCAGTTGGTCGCCCAATGCAATGCAAATTTGTTGACACAAACTCAAGCTGCTGCTGCTGCTGGTGTAGTATATCCCTGTAGCCCAGATATACCCATATATACCCCATATTATAACCCCATATATATGTGATATATACATATATTCCCTTACATATATATTATATATATAGCTATGGGGTATGCGGCAGCAGCTCATTGCCAAACCCCTTGCCAATCGCTGGCCCCTGAGAATCAAAGTCTCGATTCTCGTAAAAATGATTCATGATATCGCATTATTTCCGTATCATTTGTAATTTCCAGTTTCCTGCTTATTTTCACCAGCACACACAGAAAGAAAGAGAGAGAGAGAGGGACAGAGGGTAGACAGAGACAAAGGCAGAACTGTTGCAATTACTATATATCTGGGATTTTATAACTTTTGTGCTCTTCCTGCTGGCTGCCCTACCTTCTTCGTCTTCTTCCAGTTTCTGCTGCTGATTACAGCCAAGTCACAGACACAAAGTTAGAAATACTCGCACACAGTCAGAGGCAGTCACAGATACAGATACAGTCACAGCTACAGCTACAGATACATTTGCAGTCCCACAGATACTTTCAGGGGGGAGACAGCCTTAAAGCATTGCAACAGAAAAAGATTGTCTTAAGGGTATTTCTTCATTTAATAATTTAAAATTTAATATATATTTTAATAATTATTAAAAGTTTTCCCCCTACTGTTGAAAGTCAGCGAGCCACAGAATCACACAGACGTAGCCATTGTCATCATCAAGGTCCTGCTGATGCCCTGCTCGTGCTCTTCCTCCTGCCCATGTCCTTGTCCTTATCCTTTGTTCTCTAGACCCGCCATCCATGGACTCACGCTCACACTCAACACTTTTTCTTGTAGTTTTTGATGAACATTTAATTGAATTCTCCCTCTCTCTCTCTATCTGACTATACCGCGCTTTGTCCTCCCATTGATGTATCCGTGGTGCAAGGATGTGTGTAACTACACCTCCATTATGGCGCATCTATATATATATATATATAGATATTCCAAGATATAGTGTGTGTGGCATCTAATTAAAATTGCAATCGGAATTCTGCAGCTCAGCGTTAGCGACAAAAAGCAGATGTATCCATAAGCCAACAACGAGCTACTTTGCTAAAGGCGATATCCTTAGCAAAGCTGAGACGACTTATCGGATGTTGGTTGTAAAAAAAAAAAAATGATACTAAGCAGGAGTTATCCTTGCAGCTGGAATGAAGCCATCCTTGCACAGCTAACCGGCTATCACAGTCATTCATTTGGAATGGTCTATCAAAGGGTTTAGGTGTTGGATTCATATTACAACTTGGGGCTGGTAGGGTTTTTGCATGTGGAAATCATTGTTTATAAATGTATATATTTAAGGTATTTATATGTGGAATATACATTTTTGCTTTAATCAATATATTTTCATTAAAACAGAAGCTATAAATGGTATAATGTTTAATTCAGGTTTTGTGGTAAAAGCGAAACCTATGTTCTGCATATGTTTTCTAACAAAATAAAAGAAGAAAACTATCTATCTTTTATCTAAAAATTTGTATATATATTTATAGTATAATATATTAATTTAATGGTATCCTTGGCTAATATATATTTATATATATTTAATTGTATCTTTTCTTTCGTTAAACAACTAAAACCCCTTGCAATTTTTGTACATAATTAAAAACCTCAAGTTATTGTAACAAAATTGACTAATTAAAGCTTAGTAGCATACAGTTTCCAACCCGAATCGATGTGTAGTTAATGTGTTACTTCCCCAGGACCTCATCTGTGGAAGTTCCTTCTCTCTCTCCCCCCCCCCAGCAAGCATTCTTGGCTAATTGAACCAGTTCCTCGAAGTGAGGCTGCATCTATGCAAATACCGAGAGAGGGAGTTGCTCCTCCTCCACCCACAATATTACCTCTGTATAACCAGCTTCCCCTCCTGTTTGGGAATTAAGCTGGGGAGGAGGACATCAACGCCAAGAAAAACAAAAACAAGGACTTCTTCGACGACGACGACGACGACGAGGACGTCGGCAATATCAAACAGTAAATAGATAAAAACAACATGACTTAATGAGTGGTATTTATTTTTATGCTAATTACTTTCGAATAAGCAGAAAGGGGAGAGTTCCTTCCTTCCTACCCGAACCGGGGGGAGCGGAAGGGGAGTGGTAGTTATATCCTTAACGAGGGCGGCAATAATTGTTGGGGGGTCGCTTTTCCTTAAGGCACCCAGCATTCCCGCTTTTCAACGGCGGCAATGCAATGTTTGCATAAAGTAAATGCCATTATACAAGCAAGTTGTGCTGTAAATTCACTTCAAATGTACAAAAGCACTCGCCCTGAAAGCCGTAAAGTATGCGATATGACAGCGCATAAAGGATGCGAGCCGGGAATCCTTGGCGGGTGCTTTATCACCACAGTTACTCCCCTTTTGGCTCAACCCTCCTTTATATTCTCCATATTTTTCTTATATTTAATTTGTGAATATTTATATTAAATATAACTTTGAGAAAAGTAACATAATTAGAGGAGGCTTGTTCGTTGAGAGTCACCTGTAGTTTGAGGCCAGGAGCAATTCCTTTGAAGTTGAGATAGAAGGCCAAGTGCCACCTTGCTCAACAGGTGAGAGAAAAGATCCTGGAAAATAGTCAAAATCAATAAGAACTACTCCAGAGTCATAGGAAAGTCTTTTGGCACTTAATACCTTTCACACTTTCCTTCTGAAGTTCATTACTAACTCAAAATATGTTATTTAATATAGAAATGTAATGCTTTTAGGCAAGGACCTACTCTCACTAGTTTTGTTTCATTAAATAAATCCCATATTATCGGATTATATTCAATAAAGGCAAAATTTTGCCTCATATTATGTACTTAAATTAATTACTTGGCCTGCGTAAATGAACTTATTTCATCATATTGTTCAATAATAACACAGACTTTTGTTTTTGTTTGTAACACAGGCCAGGCAGTTGTAAAATGAATTAACCATTGGCTTATGATTTCTGTAATTAAATCAATATGCTTATCCCCAGGAAAAAAAAAACTCAAATGTAATCCGTAATGATTTAACTAATGGTTAAAATGTGGCATTATTAAATTAAACATATGCTTTTATGGTAACATTGAATTAAATGCTTTTTTATATTTATCACAAATATATGAAATATGTCGATTCTTATGGAAAAAAATGTATAAAAATAAATACAAGCAGAGGAGGAAATTAAGCCACTTCTTGGCTGTCTAAATCTGATTCTTTCGCTTCCTTCCCGGTCTCACCGCATAAAGATCATCGGAGAGGAGTCTCCCTGCCCTCGTGGCTGCCAGAAGCCTTCGCTCATGGACCTTCCGGTGTTTGGTCAGATGATCCGATCGGGCAAAGCACTTGGAACAGTAATCACACTTGTAGGGTTTAACTCCGGAGTGGGATCGTCGATGCCGGGCCAGCTCATCCGAGCGGGAGAATCTCCACGTGCAATCTGGCCAGCTGCAGGCATAGGGTTTCTCGCCGAGATGCCGACGCAGGTGAGCCTTGAGGTGGGCGGGTTTGGCATAGATCTTTTCACAGTCACCAAAGGTGCACAGGTAACCCCTCTCACCGCCGGCATTCTGTCCCAGTTGGGGGACAGCAGACACCGCTGCTGGTTCCTCTGGAGGTGATGGTGGTGGTGGTAATGGTGGCGCTGCCAGTCTAAGATTACTATTACTCTCCTCCAAAAAATCCACACAGTTATCCGTGCAGAGAGGTGTGCGTTCTGGTAGAAAGTCCACTAATTCTGGTATCTCCACATAGTTGTCCAGCAACCGCTGTTCCCAGTCACTCAAATCCGGTGGACAAACCGAAGACAAGTCATTGAAGTCAATGAACAAAGAGTGCTCCTCCTCTGGTAAGACTTCGCTACTCATGCTATGATTATTATTATTATTATTGCTGTCCAGTGTGATGATGCCATAGTAGTCCGATTCCTCCAGATGATGACAATCCACAACAAAACTGGAATCGGGATAGGTGTATTCCAAACTGCAATTGCTGGGATCATCTGGTAGCCCGGCAAGAATGGCCAACGGCTCCTGCTCATCATCCAGATCGCTGTAGAGCTGCTGGAAGCCACCGGTTGCAAAGAAGTCCATAATGCAAATGAGCTGAGTCCGGACGAGTGTCCAAATATTTATAATATACCCGGACACTACGATATCTTTTGGTGAGATATAGGGATATAAAAGGGAAGAGGTAGCAACTTACGCATACCCTGTGTATGGAGAATATGTATATACTTTTGAAGGTAATTTTAGTGAATTTTAGAAATACTATTTACTCTTTGAAGTAAAATGATTAATGTATATTTACAGTAGATTTAAATTCAATATATATTTTAAAAGCATATGTTTTATATTGTTATTATTTCATTTAATAGTTACAAAATGTACTTTCTTGTCTATAAGAAAAAAACCCCTTTAAAAATATTTCATATTTTCAATGAATTCAAACTGTATCCAAAACCATCATACCCTACAAAAAAAAACCTCAGTACCTCTTAGAGAGACAATCCAAGCCAAGTGATTCCACTGATTCCCGGCGAGTATCAATGATTCCTTGGGGAATAATTAGCCGTGGCTTATCTAACCCGCTGCCGGCTTCATTAGTCCGCCGGAGATACGTACGTCAGTCGGTCCAGTCCGGTTCGGTTCGGTCCATCCAACTCTCCGCCAGATGTTGCCATTGATCCGTGATGTGGCGACACATGTGCGAGGTTTTTCGGCGAACGATCGGGAATATATATATGTATATATATCGATGGTATATCGGTATATTGGTATATTGGTGTCTCCGAGTGGCACGCCGGTTCCAGATGGAGCCAAGGGTTAAGCCCGGCGGCACCTTGCTCTCGCTCTTTTGTTTTTTGTTTTGCTCGCCGGACTATCAACACAAAATTTGTTGTTAATTAATGACGAACTAGAGATGCCCAGGGGATATATCTGCATACATATATCCCATGTTTTCTGTGTCAAGTGAGCCACAGATACTGGGCTGGCGGGGAATTCATTTGGATTTGGAATCAACCATTAGGCAAGTATGTCTCTATCTGGCTTGGTAACGGCATATAGATTAAAGTCTTGCCGGGTAATAATTAATATTATTGTTTATGCAGTAATCATAGATTTTATTCTGGGATTTGCAGCAGAAAGAAATTACTTTTTGCTTATAAAATGAAAGTAAAGAAGCTCAAATAGTACTTGCTAAAATATTATAGTTATGATCACACTAATACTTTCTTTAGTTACTCCTTTTTCTATTCCCCTTTTCACTGGCTGCCTGCCTGTGCTATATAGCATTCTATAACCCCCCTGGTACCAGGTCCCAGGTCCTGGGTCCCTGGTCCTTGGTCCTTAGTCCTTGTCTATGCCATTCTGGCAGCCCCTTTTGGCTGCCAGCCCTTTTGGAAATTAACATAAATTTAACGTGCGGCTGGCGTTTAAATTTACTTTCGCTTAATGAAATAATCAGCAGCTGTAAATCCTTATGGCCTGTAATTCTCCCCCCTCACTGACTGCTGGAGTTGTTTGGCGGCCTACGCGTTTTACGCTAATTGATATTGCAAAAATCAAAGGCTGCGCGGCGGGCATTAAAAGGATTTAAAGGGGATATCAACTGGTCGGGGTTTTTGCCGGAATGCTGAATTTTGAACTCTGACTCCTGGCACTGAATCTGGCAGTTTGTAATTACGAGTATTGCCACTCTGATTTCTCTCTATATATATGCACATACACATATATTTATATAGGAGCAAGCACACCATCAGCATCACCCGAAAGGCAGCAACTTTGTGGAGTGGCTCGGATAACATAAATTAGTATGCTGCCTGCAGGCAGCTCTGGTATTTCGTCTCGTCCAGTTACTTACAGATCCTCTAACAAATATAAGCATACACTTAAAATAATAATAGTTACAAAATAAATATCTAGATGGATAAATCATATTAAAAATCCAATGGAAATCTGCATATTTGTAAAATAAAGGGACATCTTTGATAACAACTTGGCTTACATATTATGAGTATATACATTTTATGTAAAAGCTATAATAAAACATATAATAAAATATATATGTATATTGGCATTTATATACCACTAACAAGAAACAATTATAGGGACCTTAAGTCGATATTTTTGTGAGGCAATTTTTTGGGATAATCAAAGTTTTTGAAATCTCATAAATCCGCCAAAAATTCACTAATTTCAATTCGGAAAGCAGTTTTGTGCTAGTATTAAGTAGTTTAATAAAACTGCATACTCCATTTAAAATGTGAATTTTTGCCCGACTTTTGCAAATTTTCATGATGTAACCCCTTTCCTTTTTTCCGAAAAATGGTAAATTTCTAAAAAAAAATTTTTTCTGCCGGAGATGGCTAAAAAGATTCGCCTGTTGATGCTGATCAAGAATATATATAATTTATAGGGTCGGAAATGACTCCTTCACTTTCTTTTAAGCTTCTGACTAAATTAATATTACCCAGCAAAGGTAAAAAAAATTCCATAAAATACTCTTAACAATTATGCATTTTCATTGGACTTTCGCTCAGTGTAAGGGAATGTGTAACCACATCTATCTATGCATCAGTCTGCACATACATTTGCCTCTTCAAATTCGTGTTTTGCGTGTGTATGTGTGTGTGTGTATCTTTGTGCACACCGCAAGTGTCATAACGGAAATTATGCATACAATTTTACTGTAAATTGCACTTGGCAAAATGTTGTCACCTCAACGATACCCCTGGCCTAACCCAAAAGACCTCGCCGCCCCACTTTAATTCCGATGTATTTCAGTATGAATTCCATAACTTAAAATGAACATTTTGCAAAGTATTTACGAGGCAAAGCCGAAGACTTAATGCCAAAACCAGGACCAGGGATGGCGGACAATGTCCTGTCCGGTTCTGTCGTCCTGGCAGCAGTCAAATGAGCCAAACGGCTGTCCGGATAAATACGGTATTATTTAGAAAGGGTTTGCTTTACTGGAGTCCAACTCCGATTGCAACTCCTAGTTAAAGTCCAAGTCCAAGTCCGAGTTTGAATCCTGGGACGAGTCGTCCTTATCAATCGCAGCTGAGCTGCTTGTTTTCATTGGATTATACAAGTTTTCCCCAGCACTCGGAGCTCCGAGTTACGAGCTTTTGAGTTTGAGTTTGCGAGGAAAGAAGAGCTCCGTGTTAGGCGGCTTACTGTTGTGGCAAATTAAATCGGCATGCCATGTAACTGTAGCTGTATCTTTAGCTGTAAATGCAGATGTAAATGTATCTATAGCTGAAAATGCATCTGCATCTCAACTTTTGCACTTTGAAAAAAGTTAATCACGAAATTTAGAGGGTAAGTAGCTTGTAGCCTCTAATCTACATATTATAAATTTAATTTATGATTACAAGAAAGCCTTATTTAATACCTGAGACTTTCTATGTAAATCAGCTTTAGAATTATTTAAGAACCTATTAAAACCCCCACTAAAAACACAACCAAAAACCTTACTAATAATCCTTTTAAGTATTTGCAACTTTATCTTATTTACTTATATAGTTTCAACCCACTTATTTCCAGTGTCTCTTCATCAACAAGCTTGTAAAATGTGATTACAGGCATTTATTGCAGCCACTTCAACTCATGATATCGACTGTCATGTGAATTCCTTCGCTTACCACATGCCAATTTTATAATCCCCATGATTACTATCGATTTCTGTTGCTTCCAGCAAAATTTTTGTCGCTCAAGAAAAGCGGATTAAGTCAACGTGTAGTGTGTATTTTTGTATCTTCAGGGCCTAATTGATGCAATTTCTAAGGCTACAAATTATGGCATTTAACTGTGATTGAAAAGAACTTGATTGGGTTTATTAAAAAAATATATATCTTCAGTTTTGGTAAACGAATATCAAGGCACAGTTTATGTTTCGATTAAAGGACTTTCAATTGAAGCCACAAGTATTTATTTAAAGAGAGTGCATGCACAGTTATGATATAAAAACGGAAGTAGAAATACTTAAACTAAAACAAAAAGAATACAATAAGTAAGAAATATACATTCTTTCAAGTAAGTATTTCCATTGTCTTAAACCTTAATTATATCTTTCACTTACAACAAACAAAGCCCTGCCTAGTCTGTGAATCCAAATTAAAGAAATTTAACAACTATAATCTTCTTGTTTTTGGCCAAAAGTACCCTTCAGTGGCAAGCATAACAAAATTCTCGGAATTTAATTGTGAAAATTACAACAGTTTTTGGCCCAAGGTCCAACATTGTCCCACTCAGAGCCCTGGCATTCCCAATTAATTACACAATTTAGCCCAGAAGCGGAGCAAACTTGGCCGCCGCGGCCAACTTTCTGCAACGGGTGCTCCTTCGTTGCCGTTGCCATTGCCAAAAGGAATGAAACGAGATAAAATGTGGGCGTTGAGGCCACCCACCCATTGGCTGCAGTGGCTCAAAGTCAGCTTGCAACAGGTCAAAAGTTTGGCTAAGAAGTCGATTTTGGTCGTTGCAAAGTTTTAATAAACTCGCCAAAGACAATATTTTGTGTGAGCGACGAAACCAACCGAGACAATAATTTGATTTTGAGGCCAGGCAGCAAAGCCTGAAAGCAATTTGTTATGTCCACAGGACGAGGAAGAAGAGTGGATGAAAGTCAGGGGTGTGGGGGAAAATAACAGGTGAAAGGACACATATGACACCAACGCCACCGTTACCGAGATTAAGTGAGATGCAAACGTAATCCAAGGACAAGTGAGTTAACCGGTTTGACCCAATTTAATTAGACACTCGGGCCCAGGGGCACGACCACAGCTAGTATTAGTATTCGTATTAGTGTTATGTAGTACAAGCCCTAGTATTTGTCCTGTCCTCGCCACCAAAATTGAGCCGCCGGCCTGCCAGGATCTATGCCAAAAGCTGAGCTAATGCCAATGCCAGGACATTGTATTGCCTGCCTCAAAGCTGCCCGTTTACAGAGAGGGAAATTTTTTAATTAAAATAATATATATAAAATAAGAGAGAGAAAATCCTAGACCTACTGTTTAATATATATATTATTAAATTAAAGAAAATTATTCTGTTATTAAGAGAGTTAATTTTCTATATTATCCTGTCAACTCTTT